GTCTATGTCTGAAATACTAGTAGTTTTTCTGGTAGAGATTCCAGTAATTTAGCAGTGTCATATTATCATTGTCTCTTATTATTGTGCATCCATAGAGTTTCATTTGAGGCCATTCGTGGCCTTGCTTTATTAAACTTTCCAAGACTGTGCTTGGCAGAGTGTAAATTCCCTCAAGAGCAGTCCCTGATGCATGAATTTTGGGTAAATCACGTTATTTGGTAGTTGATTTCAGGAAGGATGAATGAGGAAATGGGGAATGCGAGACAAAGTAAGTAAAATGCTAGTAAAGTGGGCAGCAAAGAATAGGTCACTTCTGTAAGCACTGGAATCCAATACCTTAAGATGTGTTGAGATGTCCTGCAGAAATCTTCTTGGAGTTCTCCAAGGAAAGCCAGGGGAACTTTATTATCTATCCATTGGTTCCTCTCCCTTATTGTTTGAATATTGCTCCTTGACACTTTAAGTCCCATGCACTTCTCAGCTGCCTTGCATAAGGTCAGAGCAAGCTCACTAGACACTTTGCCTCCAGGAAAATAAAGCACTTGATGTGCAAAGCTGATAGCATACCAGGAGAAGTCTACCATGTCTGCAGAGCAAGGCAGAGGTGGGCCAAAATGAAAAGACATGAGGAGACAGATGGTTTGCTATGGTGATATTTGCAGTAGCAAGTAATGGCAAAGCTCAAGTAAAATACTAGACATTTTGAACATGGCTAACATGTTTACCACACCACGATAACAGGATGCCTTTAACCCTACTATTTTTGTATTAAATTTACACTTGTTTTCATTTTGATGGTGAGGCTCAAGGTTTGGAAGTAACTTCTAATATAACTCTAATGGGGGTAAAACTGAGCTTAAATTCAGTACAATTAAAAGACCAGGGAGATTTAATCCTTGGAAGAATTATAAATTAGATATATGTATTCTGTTCCAATATCGATGAACTTGCTATACCTTATACACTTTATCATTCTAGGCTTGGGTGTTCTCTTTCTGTTCATATATTGTATGTAAAAGCCTTAACAGATGTTTTATCCCAACTCACTTTTCAACAAGGGATTCAGTAGCCCTGGATCAGAAACTTGGGTCAAGGATCAAACAATTTAAAAAAAGATTCTCCTACAACCCCAATTACCCAGGAAATTATGGTATTTTAAATGTTCTGTGCCAGGAACTGAAGGAAGAGACCAAATATTCAAGTACGTTTCTTATGTTGTCTCACACACACCTTAAACACTTTCTAGTTTCACTCTTCTAAGTTCCCTTTCCTTTCTCATAATGTACCCATATGAATTAAGAACATTTTCCATCCTGATTTTCATGTTATAAGTTACACAAATCACAAGTAAATAGAGAAAAGTATTTTGTGAGGATGGAAAGAAGTTAGTAGGAGAATTTCCAATATCTCTTCCCAGGTCTCAGTCACATGGCACAGGCACACACAAATCATATTTCTCAACCCGTGGGATTTTGCCCGGGTATTTGAGAATCTAGCATAATGTGATATAATTATATTGAAGAAATACAGCTTAAGTAAAATAGGCAAGAATTATCACAAACCACATATAGTGGCTTTGGGATTGACCTTGAGCCCCATGCTTATGAGTATAACACTGTACATCTTTTATGACGTTACATAAATTTAGTATTTGCTTAGAAGTATTTGGCAAGTTACACATTTTTTTTGGATTCCAAAGTTGTAATTTGGAAAGATTTGTACTGATTTTTTTCTCTTTCACAAATGTCCCTTTACTGCAGTTACTATTTCTCTATTGAGACAATGTGGTATGTTTTTCATAATAAAGATTGGAAATGTAAACAGGAGCTCATTGAAATTAGCATCAGCTGTGTTACACCAGAAAAATATGGGTGTTTCTTCTTTTATTTTATAATTTTTTAGTAATTAATATGTGTGTGTATTTCCGCTGATGCCAACTCACCCAGAGATGGCTGAACTCAATGTATTTTTTAGAGCTATTCAAGATTTCTCCCTCCTCTTTTGAGTGGCAGCACAATGTTCTCAGTTTGACAGACCTGTTTCTCATAGTTGAGGTTATTTGCAAAATCTTATAAAATACTTAGTAGACATTATTATTTTTTTTTCTCACTTGTGGGGGATATCCTTAGGCTTCAATTCCATTCCTCAGTTCTCGGTGGAGCTCTGGAGTTTTTCTTCCACCAGATAAGAGTAAGGTTTGTTGTTCAGTTTCCTTGTTTTTCTCCTAGTCAGCGATGGGCCAGTGGTGAGCGGAAGGGAACCTAAAACTCAGTCGAGTTTCAGAAGAACTGCAGAGATTTGTAAAATTAAAATACAGTAAGTGATGGGATGAAAAGATTTGCCAAACTGTTCAAACTTCTGTGGACAATTTCTTTCTTTTGACATAATTTTTTGTAACTTAAGATATCAGTCTTTTCCATTTTTGTTGTTCTGTTGTTGCTAATGAATGCTGATTTTTACCTTTTGTATTTTGTTAACATTGTGAGTAAATTTTTGTGTAGAGCAGATTTTCTGGGCAGGTGTATTCTGCCTAATTAATCTAGAATGTCTATTCTTTTTTTTGGTTATTTTTATTTAGGAACATGCAGAGGTTCACGTTATTAAGGCTACAACAGTTTTAAAGATATTTTTTTAAGTCCTGATCTATCTAGGATTGATTTTTATATGGATTAACTGAACATCCAATTTCATGATCTTCTATTGGGATAATTCTCTCCAGCTTTTCTTACTCAATAGACTTTTTGCCATACACGCTACCCCTGTCTACACCATCGATCTGTACTATCATGGGTCTTTTTGATGTCCCTATTCTGTTCCATTGATTATTTGTCCATTCTTTTGTCAATTTCACAGTGTGTCAATAACTCTAGCTTTATCATTCTTAATATGTGGTAGCTCAAGTTATTTTCAAGAGTGTCGTGCTTATTTTTTATCACTTACATTTTCCATATCCTTATTAGAATCAGTATCAAATTCTACAAAATCCCATAATAGGATATTGATTGGAAAAGCACAAAGCAGATAGATCAATTTGGGCAAAATTGGCAGTTTAATAACATTGATCTATGCAATTCAGAAACATAGTATTTTTACCAGTTTATTTAGGACTTCCATAATATTTTACAATAAGGTTCTAATTTTCTTCTCTTAAGAATAGGTCCAGTCTAATTTTAATAATAGTCTACCAAATTATGAAATTTCCCTTCTATTCTAAATTTTTATTGTTTTGACCATTCTTAATGGTGTTATTTCTTTATCTATTCGAATATCCATTTTTTTCAATTCAATCAAATAATATGGTAAATTGCATTTATAAATTTTCCAGAATTAAATTTCTCAGCCAAACATGAGATTAAAACAGCTTGAATGCAGTGCATTATAATTCTTAAACAATTTAAAAATTGATATCAATGATGGATTAGTATTGTTTAGGATTTTATGTGTATATATGTGTAATGGTGGTTCTAAAGTAGTTTTTTTATTATATCTTATTTTTTTGAAATCAGTGTTTTCTGGTCTGCTAGAGTGAATCACATTGTAGTAATCATTTTTTTAATACTCTGGAACATTTTGTGCAGAATGTAGATAATCATTTTTCAGGAAAGCTTGCAAGTACATGCCTTTAAAAGAATTTGAAGTGGAAAAGAGTTGGAAAAGTAGAAGTAGAGAAAATGCAATCTTCAACTCAGAGACTTTAATTCAAAATATTTAAAGTATACTTGATTGAAAGTGAAATAAATATATAAAAATATAAAATATAGTAAATGTACTCCATTCCTGTAAATGCCATGTCCGATTGGCTTTATTTTGATCACATAATTATGTGTCTTGTTCATATTGTATTTTCTTAAATAAGAAAAATTTGCATACATCAGATTAATCATATAATACCTAGTTCTATTGCTCCCAATTACTTTCCTTTTATTTCATCTATATACTTCAAAAATTAATAGTTTCCCCACCCCTTTTAGCATTTCCTACTTTAGATTTATATTTCTCATGTAGGATAGGTATATTTGTGGTAGTTTACCTGATCACTTGAGGTGGGAAATTAACAAATATGTTTAAATAAATTGTTACTTACCTTAAAATGTGCTAGAAAAACACATCATTTAAATGCACATTAAACACATCGGTAGTTGTATTAGAGATATTATTGCTAAGGTCAAACCAAATGTGGGAACACCTGCTAGTCATTCATTGTCAGACTGCAGACTGAATAAACTATAGACATATGACTTACTTGATCTTTAACATGTAAAAAAATCATAAAGTTTGCACTGATATGTTAAAGTTTGGAGCCACGGCTCTAGGGGAAAAGAATAATGTGTTATGTAGAGTGGGGATGTTGAGAACTCCTACAACCAAGCTAAATAACTTCCTATCATTACAAAACACCAATAAACAATGTTTAAAACACATAAAAGCACAGTGGAGTGAGAATATAATACTAAAGATCAAATGGATAGCAGAATGAGAATAACATTCCGACAAACAGAGTTATAATGAGAAAAAATAAGTAAAAGTCTGTTAAATGAATTAGTAGTGGTTTCCTTCAGGAATTGAGAAGTAAGCTTCAGGAATGAGAAGCAGAGGTCTATTGCTTTACATTATAATTACCTCTAAGAATTAGACATGGTTTACCTTATTAAATGCAATCTTCAATGAAAAAAAATTGAAAGTCTATCAGGATTTGTACTCTAGACCAAACTTTTTCTAATGGTATATTGCTGACAGAATAGTAAAGAAACTCTATATACCTTGTAATGTAACCTTTATATGACTCAAAATGAAGTGGCTGTTATATAGCTCATGTTGTAATGCTTTCTAAATTTGGTTTCGGTTCAATGGCAAGGTAAGTCTTATTTTAAATTGCTTTATCTGAAAAAATGGATATATCTAAAATATAATGGTTTGAGTACTACAATTTTAATAGGTGGTATCTTCTGAGGACCGATGACTTTGTATTCTTCTCAGAGTAAGTTTAATTAACGGCCTGGATGGATGAACACAATACAACACTGCTGAAAGAATTCATTCTCATGGGAATCACAGACCGTCCTGAGCTGCAGGCTCCCTTCTTTGGGCTGTTCCTCATCATCTATGTAACTGCAATGGTGGGCAACTTAGGCATGATCATCCTCACTAATATTGATGACAGGATCCAGACACCCATGTACTTTGTTCTCAGACATCTGGCTTTCATTGATGTTGGCTATTCAACAGCTGTGGGATGCAAAATGTTGGTAAATTTTGTAGCAAACCTAAATACAATCCCTATAATTTGTGTGCTGCATAGCTAGCTTTCTTCATCATGTTCATCACCAGTGAACTTTTTGTTCTGTCAGCAACAGTCTATGATGGGTATGTGGCCATCTGTAACCCTCTGCTTTACACAGTAGTCATGTCACAGAGAGTGTGCTGGGTGCTCGTAGCAGTCCCCTATCTCTACAGTGCCTTTCTCTCACTGATAACCACCATGAAAATTTTTATTTCACCCTTCTGTGGCTATAATGTCATTGGTCATTTCTACTGTGACAGTCTTCCCTTGTTGAATTTGCTGTGCTCAAGCACATGTGAAATGGAGCTGATGATACTGATCTTTTCTGCATTTAACTTGGTGTCATCTCTTCTGATAGTCCTTGTGTCCTACACACTGATCCTTGTGGCCATCCTCAGGATGAACTCTGCAGAAGGTAGGTGCAAGGCCTTCTCCACCTGTGGATCTCACCTGATTGTGGTAGTTGTATTATATGGGACTCTGCTCTTTATGTATGTGCAGCCCAAGTCCAGTCACTCCTTTGATACTGATAAAATGGCCTCTGTATTTTACACTCTGGTAATACCCATGCTCAATCCCATGATCTACAGCTTGAGGAACAAAGAGGTCAAAGGTGCCCTGCACAGGATATGGAAAAAATCTGTTCAAACTTCCTGTTTGAAGTTCAATGTAGAATGTATGTACAATAAATTAGGTTATAGACCTTTGTTTATTATACATGGTTAGACTTTAGGAAGCATTAATTTATAAAAGGCATGGGAAACTAGAAATGTTTTCCTTGTTTTCAGCATAAAGATTTTCAAGTGCTAATTATCCTTTTGATCTCCATTTTGATTTGTCCCCAGTTCAGTGTAAATGCCTGAAGTTTGGATCACTGGTCTTACATTCCCCACGCTAATGTTAAAATTAATAGGAAGCCTTTTTTATCCATCTCTTATTAAAGACATTCTTGCATCTTCATTTTCTTTTCACTAAAGACATTCTTGTATCTTTAGAAATTTTTTTTTTCTTTGTGTCTTACATACTGTTTAAATCCCACTGGAATGCTGATGTACAGAAGAATGGCAGTTATTGTTTTATGTGTTGAACAGAAATAATGCACCAAAATAACTGCATTAATGACACTTTAACTCTATCTCCCTTGTGGCAAGGGGCATTTCAGATTTCTGTTAAAATATGATATTGATCCTTCTATCTCTTTATAATATATATGTATTATTAGACATACATTATGTTTTGATATCTATGCATCTGTATGCTTGGGGTACAAAAATAAAAGCATAACTGTATTCAAGGAGAATAATTGTGCACATAAATATCAAAAAAATCTACATCTAAAACTTTAGAAATAATAAGTGAAATTTGCAAGGTGGGCAGATATATGGTCATCACATAAAATATCAATTATTTTGCTATGCACTATCCAGAAACAAGTGAAAATTAAATTTAAAAATATTACTTATACAATCAACCAAAACTGTAAATCATTAAGTGAAAAATCTAATGAACAACATGCATGGCTTCACTCCAATGAACTATAAAAATATTAGTTAATTATTAAAGAGGGGTCTTATTCATAAAATCTTTTCCCAGTCCTATTTCCTGAAGTTTTTCCCCTGTCTTTTAGTTCAATAGTGTTATAGTTTCTGGTCTTTCATTTATGTCTTTAATCCATTTTGAGTTGATTTTTGCGTATGTTGAAGATGTAGTTCTGTTTTCATTCTTCTGTGTATGGGTGTCCAGTTATCCCAGCACCATTTATTGAGGAGACAGTCTTCTACTCAATGGATGTTCTTCTTGCTTTTGTCAAAGATCATTTGGCTTTTAAGTTTGTGGATTCATTTCTGGATTCTCTATTCTGTTGCATTTGTCTGAGTGTCTGCTTTTATGCCAGTACCATGCTGTGTTGGTCACTAGAGCTTTATAGTATAATTTGAAGTCCCATAGTGTTACACCTCTGGCCTTATTTTTTGTTGCTGAGGATTGCTGTGGTTACTTATGGTCTTTTTTTGTTCCATGTGAATGTTAGGATTGTTTTTTTTTTTTTCTGTTTCTGTGTAGAATGTCATTGATATTCTAATGGGTATTGCATTGAATCTGAAGATCCATGGGTTGGAAGAAATAAATGTAAAGAAGTTGGTTCTCCCTAAATTTTCTTATGTTTCTATTTTTGGGTAGAATTCCATCAATATTCCATGTCCATGGATAGGAAGACTCAATATTGTCAAGATGTCAGTTATTCCCAAATTGATCTATAGACACAATCCCGGTCTAAGTCTCTCTTTTTCCTTTTGGAACTCTGAAAGCTGATTATAAATTTTATTCAGAAAAGTAGCAAAGATAATTAAGAAGGAAAACAAGAGTTGAAGGAGTTACACTCTCAGTTGCTATGAGCTATTATGAAGCTCTAGTAAGAAAGGAAACATGGTAATTTCCTAAAGACAAACAGAATGATCAATGGAACAGAGTAGTGATTAAAGAAATATATCAACACACATAGTATCATATGATTTATAAAAAGGGATCCCAGTTTTCCAAAAAAGGAAATTGATCTCTTTGAAAAATTGTATTGAATAATTTGTATATCTCTTTGGAAAAGAAAAAAATAAAATGAACACCTACCTTACACCCTTTTCAGAATCAGTTCCTTGGAGACCTAAATGTGAAATACAAATGTAGGAGATGTTTTTGTGATATTGATGTATGCACAGAATTTTAAACAGAACATGCATAGAATTTACCAGATAAGATTGAAGATTAGTTGGAATATTTTAGAAAGTTTTGTTTATCAAAATTAACAGTGTAAAAGGGCAACATTTACAGTGGGAGAGGATATTTTTTCAGACCTACATAATCAGACATATATATTTGATAGAGGAATTCTGATGAAAATACAAAAATAATTCTAACAAAACAATAAATAACCATCATAAAACCCAAAAGAGAGATGGACAGAAGACAGAAATGAACACTTACCAATAGAAAATATATCAATAGCCATTAAATAATTTAAAAGTTCTCAATTTCTTTCAGCATTAAGATAATAAACATTAAAATAACCATGACACCAATGTCTTCCAGAATGACTAAAAAGAAAACAGCAAAAAATATTATCACAACAAGGATACTAAGCAGTCATAACTATCATGCCCTGCTGGTGAGAACACACACTGATGTAACTACTTTGGAAACCCATTTGGCAGTATTTACAAATGCTGAATATGCATACCCTATGACTTAGTAATTCTAATCTAAGGAAAACACTCAAATAGGAGTGCAGATTTGTCTTCCTCAAAACATTCAGTAATATCACTAATCATAAAATCACCAAATTAGAACCAATTCTAATATTTAATAATAGTTTGGTGGATAACTAATTTGTGTTATATTCATAAATTTAATTGTACACAGAAATAAGAATAAACAATCTAGAACTACATGTAACAATATATTAAGCACAGGAACCCAGACACATGTACATAAATAACGTACAGAATTCATTCAGATAAAGTAACAAAAATAGCTGAAGTTATGGTGTTAGAAGTCAGAATAGTGGTTTTAACTTTGCGTCTGTATGGGGTGCAGTTCATGTTAGAAAGGAGAATGAAGAATTATTCTGGGGTCCTGATAATGTTTTATTTTGTTGTTAATGATGCTGTTTCATCTGGATTTTGGTTACATAGGTGTGCTAAGCTTGTAAAAATTATTTATGACATGTGCATTTGTTCACATGTACATTATACTTTGATCATAAATTAAAAACACCACAAAACAGGGAGAAAACAGCTCCAAATAAATATTATTTTCTCTTGTGAATTTTTAAAACAGTGTGATAGGCAGCATTTAAGCATTCCTCCATTGTGACCTCAGCTCTAAAGTTGTAAAAAGCCACCATGTAGAAAAAGGACTCTTACGAGTTAAAAAGAACTTAAAAGAGAAGACTCTGAAGGTACTGCAAAATGTTTTATATCCAGATCTCTGGGTTTCAGTAGAGAAGACTTAAATTAACTAAAAGGAGCTTTGGAAAGGTATGTGACAACTTCAGCTGTATGGGAATATAATGCTCCTCTGTACAATTAGCAGATATCCCATTGGATTTGTTTGAAGTTTCAAATGCTTTAGGTATAATTAATAACTCACATACCTTCTCCTCAGGGACAGTCTGTCAGGAGGAAAGAAATCCATAAATTATTCAAATCGGGTTATGTTAGGAACATATAAGAAGCACAGAAAAATTTCTCATTAAAGGCGAATAGATTTCACCAGTTTCTGTATCAACCATCTCAGCATTCCAGTGACTCTTCATGGACCTGTCTTCCTTTAACCTACAGTTTCTAACACCTGATCTAGGCAACTTAGGCACAGCTTGAACAATATGTTTTGATAACTGAAGTTTTGGGGTTTAGTACAATGTTCTATCTGTCTTTATCATAATCTTTGGTGAAAGCTAGACATTGGCTTCTATATACTTAGTTGATATTATTTAAAAAGTAAAAACAAGAACAAAAACTCAACTTCTGAAAAGCCACGTAAAGTTGTTTGGATACACCACCATCTAGTTCTTAGAATTTTTATGATTATTTTCTTTCACTTTGATCCTCAGCCAAAATATCAAATAGGATATTTTGATTTGTAGTTAATAGAATTTGTTTCAGAATGTTAACCTCAAATAATAAATTTCCATAATGCCTTCTAATTACCTCTAAATTAAAGGAATTATATCAGTCTTTATGATCTATGTATTTTCTGTTCAAAACATGCCATGTGTATTTCATGTTTCCTGAATTTTCTGGTAATATTGAAGGAATCAATGGCATTTGGACTGCATCACTTTCAGTCGAAGTTGAGGCCAAAGCAAAATGCTAAAGCATCTATTTTGTTACATAGTGCTTCAATCACACCATAATATTTGATTAGTAAGAGAGCTGCTCCTCCTTTTTACCTACTATCTAGTATCTGAACATTTTCATCACCGCAAAAGGAAACTTTTATACTCATTAAGCAGTCCCTACACCCCTACTTCCACAGCCTTTGGGGACAGCTAATCTACTTTCTGTCTCTGTGGATTTGCATATTCTGGATATTTCACATAAATTGAATTGTCAGATATGTGGCCTTTATGCGTGGCTTTTTTCTCTTAGCACAATGATTTCAAGGTTCATCCAAGTTGTAGTAAGAATCAATATGCTGCTCCTTTCTAATACTGTTTAATATTCCATTGTTTGGATGCACCACACTTACTTATCCATTCATCTGTAGATGGACAGTTGAGCTATTTCTACATTTTGACTATTGTGAATAATGCTGCTATTAACTTCCTTGTATTAGTTTTTGTATGAATACCTTTCTTTTCAAATTTTTGTGTATATACCTACTGGTAAAATTGCTGGGTCATAACGGTAATCCTATGTTTAATTTATTGAGTAAGTCATAGTAGCTGTGCCATTTTACATTCTCAAAAACAATGTACAATGGTTAAAATTCCTCCACTTCATTTCCAGAATTTGTAATTTTCCATTTTTTTTTATTATGGCCATCGTACTGGCTGTGAAGTTTTATTTCATTATGGTTTCAATTTGTATTTCCCTAATGACAAATGGCACTGAAAATCTTTCATGTACTTGTTGGCCATTTGTTGTCTGTTCAAGATCTTTGCCCATTTTTATAAATGTACTTTATTGTTAATTGACAAATTAAATTGCATATATTTATGAGATAAAAGTGATGTTATATGTATGCAATGTGGAATGATTAAACCAAGGTAATTAACATATCCTTCATACCAAATGCATTTTTTTTTTTTGTGGTGCGAACACCTAAACTTTATTTGCTTTGCAATTTTTTTTTATACATTATTAACTATAGTCACCATGCTGTACAATAGATCTCAAAACATGTATTCCTTAACTTTAAAACGTTGTACCATTTTACTATCTCCCTATTTCCCCCAGCATAGACTCTAGTAACAACCATTCAGCTCTGTTTCTATCAGTTTCAGTGTTTCAGATTTCACATGTAAGAAAGACCATGCAGTACCTGTCTTTCTGTGCCTACTTATTTACTTAGTATAATATCCTTCAGATTTTTCAATGTTCTCACAAATGACAGGATTCCCTTTTTAAAAAAAGCTTATTAGTATTAAATTTTGTAAACACACCATATTTTCTTTATCCATTCCTCTTTTGATGGACATTTAAGTTGTTTCCATATCTTAACTCTTGTAAATAATGCTGCAATGAACATGGGGTGCAGATATCTCTCCAACATATTGATTTCTAATGTTTTGTAAATATACCCAGAAATGGGATTTCTGGGTCATATAATAATTTATCTTTAGTTTTATGAGAAACCTCCCCATGATTTTCCATAATGGCTATATTAATTTACATTCCCAACAACAGTGTGCAAGGACTCCATTTTAGTTTGATATAGTCCCCTTTGTTTATTTTTCCTTTGGTTGCCTGTGCTTTTGGGGTCGTATTCATGAAGTCTGTGCCCAGCCCTATTTGCTGAAGGGTTTCTCCTATGTTTTCTTTAATAAGTTTTATTGTTTCGGGGTGTATATTTAAATCCTTGATCTATTTTGAGTTGATTTTAGTACATGGTGAGAGATGTGGGTCTAGTTTCAATCTCCTGCAAATGGATATCCAGTTATCCCAGCACCCTTTGCTGAAGAGGGAGTCCCGACCCCAGTGAATAGGCTTGATGCCTTTGTCGAAGATCAAATGGCAGTAAGTGCGTGGGTTGATTTCTGGGTGTTCTGTTCTATTCCATTGATCAGTGTCTCTGTTTTTGTACCAGTACCATGCTGTTTTGGTTATTGTGGCTTTGTAGTATAGTTTAAAGTCAGGTAGAGTAATACCTTCAGCTTTATTTTTTTTTGCTCAGCGTTGCTTTGGCTATTCTTGGTCTTTTGTTATTCCAGATAAATGATTGTATAGTTCTTTCCATGTCAGAGAAAAATGTCATAGGAATTTTGATGGGGATTGCATTGAATTTGTATATTACTTTGGGTAGTATAGTCATTTTCACTATATTGATTCTTCCAATCCAGGAGCATGGGATGTCTTTCCATCTTTTTGTATCCTCTCTAATTTCTCTCAGGAGTGGTTTGTAGTTCTCGTTATAGAGATTTTTCACATCCTTAGTTAGTTCAGTTCCTAGGTATTTTATTTTTTTGGTGGCTATTGTGAATGGGCAGGCTTTCTTGATTTCTCTTTCTGCTTGTTCACTATTGGTGAATAGAAATGCTACTGATTTTTGTGTGTTGATTTTGTATCCTGCTACTGTGCTGAACTCTTTTATCATGTCTAAGAGTTTTTTTGTAGATGATTTGGGCTGTTTGATATATAGGATCATATCGTCTGCAAACAGGGACAGTTTGACTTCATCCTTTCCAATCTGGATGCCCTTTATTTCTTTCTCTTCTCTGATTGCTCTGGCTAATACTTCCAAAACTATGTTGAATAGGAGTGGTGAGAGTGGGCATCCTTGTCTGGTTCCTGTTCTTAAAGGAAAAGCTTTTAGTTTTTCCCCATTCAGGATGATATTGGCAGTGGGTTTATTGTATATGGCTTTGATTATGCTGAGATATTTTCCGTCTATACCTAATTTATAAATGGTCTTTGTCATGAATGAGTATTGGACTTTATCAAATGCTTTTTCGGCGTCAATAGAGATGATCATATGGTCCTTGTGTTTGTATTAATATGGTGGATCACATTTATTGATTTGCNTCTTGGACTTCCGATTCAGTAGATGGTGCTATTTGAGCCTTGCAAATCGTTCCAGCAGGCTCCATCCAATATTTTTAAGTTGGAAGATTTCACACAAAATGCAACTTTCTAGCTTTTCTCGTGATTGGAGTGTGTAGCTGGGATTGAGAACCACACTTCTGGATGGTTGCAGCTGAGGCCATGGGTTCAGGGCTTCTTACCCAACCAGGAAAGGAGCCCGGAGTTACTGCATTCCAGTGTTCGTGGCCCTCAAGTGCTCCATCAAGGCGCTGGTGCCGAACGACACGCTCCTGCAGGTGAAGGGTACTGGCGCCAACAGCTCCTTCAAGCTCAACTGGAAGAAGCTGGAAGGCGGCGGGGAGCAGCGCGGGTGGGCCGCAGCCACCACCGCCCCGGCGCCCGCCACCGTGTACAAGGCCAAGAAGCCGGCGGCGGGCGCGCTGCACGTGGACAAGAAGCCCGCCAAGAGCCAGAAGGCAGAGAAGCGCTCGCACAAGAAGGGCGCAGCCTTGCTTTGCAATTTTGAAATATACATTATTAACTATAGTCACCATGCTGTACAATAGATCTCAAAACATGTATTCCTTCCCTTTAAAGCGTTGTACCATTTTACTATCTCCCTATTTCCCCCAGCATAGCCTCTAGTAACAACCATTCAACTGTTTCTATCAGTTTCATTGTTTCAGATTTCACATGTAAGAACGATCATGCAGTACCTGTCTTTCTGTGCCTAGCTTATTTACTTAGTATAATATCCTTCAGAT